TCTCTCTCTCTCTCTCTCTCTCTCTCTCAAAAAATAAAAAATAAAAAAAAAAAAGAAAAGAAAAACAAGATGATGGAGCTGGGGTTATGGCTCAGTGATAGAGTGCTCACCTAGCATGTGAGAGGTTCAATTCTCGACAGTAAAATAAAAATAAAAGCCCATCAACCACTAAAAAATTTGTTTTTAAATAAAAATGTTTTAAAAAAGATGGTCTTGGTGATGTACACCTGTAATCCCAGCAACTTGGGAGGCTGAGGCAGGAGGATCACAAGTTTGAGGCCAGAGTGCGGAATTTAGGGAGATGTTATCTCAAAATAAAAAATCGGGGTTGGGGATGTAGCTCAGTGTAGAGTCTCTGGGTTCAGTCCCAATGCCACATACACACAAAAAGTGCTGGCGAGGATGAGCACCATCATATATTTCTGGTATAGCACTTTGGAAAAATGTTTAGCAGTTCCTCAAAATGTTAAGCAGAGTGGCAATATGATTCATCAATTTCACTCCTAGGCTTCTACTCAAGAAAATGAAAACCAACATTCATGCAGACTTCTACACAAATGTTCATAACATAATAACCCAATACACAGGACTATCAGCTGATGGAAGATAACAAAGATGTGGTACATCCTACAATAAAATATTATTTGCTAACAAAAAGGAATGGAGTACAGATATGTGCTGCAATGTGTACGAGCCTTAAAGACATCCTGCTAGGTGAAAGAAACCAGTCTCAAAAAGCCATGTGCTACAGGATTTGTTTATATGAAATGTTCAGAATACAAAAATCCATAGAAATAATTCAGATTAGTGCCCAGGGGCTAGAAAAAGGTTTGAATGGGAATGACTGGTAATTAATACAGGGTTTCTTTTTGGTGTAGTTAGAATATTCTAGCATTGTGAATGCTTGTACAACTCTGTTAATAAGCTAAAAAAAAAAAAAACATTGACTTGTGTACTTTAAAAAATGAATTTTATGGTATGTGAATTATATWTTTTTTTTAAGAGAGAGTGAGAGAGAGAGAGGGAGAGTGAGAGAGAATTTTAATATTTATTTTTTAGTATTTGGCGGACACAACATCTTTGTTTGTATGTGGTGCTGAGGATGGAACCCGGGCTGATCGCATGCCAGGCGAGCGTGCTACTGCTTGAGCCACATCCCCAGCCCGTGAATTATATTTCAATAAAATAGTTATTTTTTTTAAAAAAGCCAGGCATTTATACCTGGGTAATTACACATCTGTAATCCCACTGACTCAGGAGACTAAGGCAGGAAGATTGAAAGTTCAAAGCCAGCCTTACCAATTTAGTGAGGTCCTAATTAACTTAGCAAGACCCTGCCTCAAAAATAAATAAATAAATAAATAAATAAATAAATAAAGGTTGGGGGGAATTGCTGGGGATGTGGCTCATTGGTAAAGTACCCTTGAGTTAAACCCCCAGTACCAAAAATAAATATATAAAATAAATATATAAACAAAATTATCATAGAAAGGACTGTAGAAGACAGTTAAAGGGCTTTTGGTTTTTGTTTTTTAATTATCCTGATGACATCAGGGACTTGATCTTTGCAGAAGTTTTAGGAGGACAGCAAAATGAGCCCTGTGGTATTTTGGAAACATCACACAGGTTTCCTGTGAATAATATTAGATCAAAAGTGTCAGGTTGGGGGCTGGCGTTGTGGCTCAGTAGTGCAGTGCTTACCTGGCACGTGTGAGGCACTGAGTTTGATCTTCAGCACCATACAGAAATTAATAAAAAAGTATTGTGGGCTGGGATTGTGGCTCAGCAGTAGAGCACTCCTCTAGCATGGGTGGGACCTGGGTTTGATTCTTAGCACCACATTAAAAAAAATAAATAAAGGCATTGTGTTGTGTCCAACAAAATAAATAAATAAATAAAAGGAAAAAAGATTCTCTCTCTCTTTCTCTCCTTTAAAAAAAGGAAGTATAGTGTCCATCTACAAATATATACATTTTTTAAGAGAGATAATTTTTTTAATATTTATTTTTTTTTAGTTTTCGGTGGACACAACATCTTATTTTATTTTTATGTGGTGCTGAGGATCGAACCCAGCTCGCCCTGCGCATGCCAGGTGAGCGCGCTACCACTTGAGCCACATCCCTAGCCCCTAAAAGAATATTTTTAATAAAGCGTCAGGATGAGGGCTGGGGTTGTGGCTCAGTAGTACAGCTCTCTTCTAGCATGTGCGAGGCGCTGGGTTCGATCCTCAACACCACATAAAAAAATAAGTAAAATACAAGTATCGTGTCCAACTACAACTAAAAAAAATATATATTTTTTAAAAAAAGCGCCTCAGGATGAGGAAACCAATTAAACAAGATAACGTGTGCCAAGCCTATTTCTTTGCTTGGCATATGACAGACAATAAATGACATTTGTCACTTCCCTCTTTCTGCGGGGACTCAGATCCTATCAGGGTACCCTCTGCCCTAAACAGTGGCTGAGGCTTTGTTCCTGTGTCCATCGGGCAGTAGGTAACAGAGATGGGAAGAGCAGGCCTGGTGTAAGAACCCAGGAATTCCAGCGTCAGCCTGACAAGGGAGACAGGGGAGCCGTGGGCTTGTGGCCAGCTTCTGAAAGGGATTGCTGCAGTTCAGGGATTAGGGTGGAGCTCAGGCCATCGGGCTGCACAGCGCTCTGAGCACCTGGTTGGAGCGTGATGTGACTTAAAATCAGACACAAGGAAGCAGGCTGCCATGTCCTCAAGATGGGCCCCCACTCCATGTGCTTGGTTGTGGGGTTTTACCTCAAAGAAGCTGAATAGTGAAGGCAAACAGGAGGTAAGTCATTATGAGGTTAGCAGAAGAAATGCAGTTAGGACAGAAGGTGACCCAGGTCACTGAAGGAGAGCTACAGAGCCCTGGTGATGACACTGAGAATGCCATCATCCTTCAGTCCTCTCCTTAAAGACAGTCCCAATCTCTGGTGAGGGCTCTTTGCTACCATAGGCCCAACCGATCCTTACTGGCCTACCTTCCCCAGGACCTTCTCTCTGGGACATTCTTTGTCCCCTAGAGTGGATGCCCTCCCTGTCTTCTTTTTTTTTAGATGAGGGTTAGCACAGAAGTCAGCTTGATAAAACGTGCCTTAATTTTCCTGGGGGAAGTGAACTTTACAGGGAGACTAGCCGTGGCTACCAGAAAGCAAGATTCTTCTCTGAGCATCAGTTCTGTTCTTGTTCTTCCCCGGCTCTTTGCTGTTG